AAGCCTTCCGATTGGTTGGAGTCGCTAACTAGAGACCTCATGCCTATCAACTTTGACAACGTCTCTAATTCATCAATCATAAAAAGCAAGGTGGAAGAACTGATTGATCGAATAGAAGACCAACCTCCAGCGCCACAATATCTAGCGTCACAACGAGCTGACCAACCAAGTTATCTATTTGACATGATTAAATATGAATATAAGCGAAATCATAGTCGTATTGAACGTTTCATCAATCAACCATATCCTTTCCGATAGAACAAAGTTACATTAATTTGGCAATAATAGAAACCAAAGAACAACAAGTAAAAGAAAAGAAGCTTCGTTATACTAAGCAAAGCGATGCAATCAACGGTATTTTTGAAGAAATCTGTGGAACGAAGACTCCCCTAGATGTCAAGGACATATTTCAAAACTGCAAGGATAAATCAAAACAGGCACTTGTACTTGGTCGAGCTGGAATTGGAAAATCAACATTTTGCCGCTATGTCGCAAATCAATGGGCAAACGATGTAATTTGGCCCCAATACAAGTTAGTTATTTTGCTTCCGTTGCGCAATTTAACAGAAGACCGTTATCCGAAATTGCCACCTGGCTCTCGATATTCTTCGTATAGCTTGGTGGAAACAGAATATCTTTTCGACCATGGTTTCTTAGAGAAAGATAGACAACTTCTCAAAGAGCAATTTTCCAAGACTGACGTTTTATGGCTTCTGGATGGCTACGATGAAATTGGGCAAAATTTACCAGCACATTTGAAAGGTTTAATCGAACACTTACATAAGAATACGCACCATATTTTAACATCTCGCCCATACTTCTATACTTTATCCTACTCTGTGCAATTGGAAATTACAGGCTTTACAGATGATAATATCGCGAAGTACGTGACTCGGTTCTTCGATCAGATCGAAGATCAATTGCAAGATGCATCGTCCGAAGACCAAAAACTTCTGACCTTCCTAAAATTGAACAGAAGCATTTGGGGTGTTGCACACATTCCGATAAATCTAGAACTAATTTGCAGTGTTTGGAGTAACGCTGACTGGTCAGAAACAAAAACATTAACAATGACAGGACTGTACGATAACATTACCGAATGGTTATGTCGACGATATATGACAAGGCAAAACAAAACTATTCAAATGAGTAAAGATGATATAATTAAACATTCCCATAACGAACTGACATTCTTGGAAACATTAGCATTTAAAGGAATGGAAAACAACACTATTATTCTACGACCAAAGTTGTTACAAGAAGCTTTCACCGAAACTGGCTACTCGTCAAGTGGCTTCGTGGACTTGCTCCATATCGGTATTCTAAAATCATTGATGGAAACGCCAACTGGTACTCAAATCGAAGTAGAGAAAAAGCATTATTTTGTACATCTTAGCTTTCAAGAATATTTTGCAGCACGATACTTGGTTACCGCTCTCAACGGTAGTGAACCACAAAAAGCGATCGATTTTATCCAACGCCATAAATACAACCGACGTTTTCGACTAATGCTGAGCTTTGCATCCGGACTTCTCGCAAACACTAGCGACACCAAATGTATCGACATATTCTGGGACACAATCTATAGAGAGCCATTAGATCGGATTGGCATAAGACACATGCAAATTCTCATTTCCTGCATGGAAGAGGCACATCATAACAAAACCTTCAAACGACGTAATGAATTAATGAATTACGTAATCAAGTGCGCAGAAACCGCCGTGCGCTCCAAACATGCAAAGATACTCACCTACCTAAACGATACTTTACGCAGAAGCCCCTACATAGTGAATGAAAATAAACTACTCGAAACTTTCACCAATCTTCTCCAAATCAACCATCACAGCACAAAGGAATCTACCATCAAACTAGTAACTGGATTGCCAATTTTCAATCCACAGCCACACTTTATACATTTACTTATCACCAAACTGAAGGATGCGAATCATTGGGTGAGAGGACAGGCAGCTGAAGCTCTCGGCCAGCTAGGGGCAAACCTCACAACTAACGAGATGATCACAGCCCTGCGCACTGCACTGGAGGATCCGAACGATTCTGTCAGATGGAAGACATGTGAAGCTCTCTGTCATATCACTAAAAGTGCAGCAATGAATCACGAAATCGGGTCGTTGGCGACCGCACTAGGAAATGCCAATCATTCCGTCACATGGAAGGCATCTGCAACTCTCTGTCAGATCAGCGAAAAAGCAGCAACCAAGGAAGTGATCGGAGCGCTGGTGATCGCACTGGGGGATGCGAATGCTTCTGTCAGATTGAAGGCATGTGAAGCACTGGGTAATATGGACGAAAAGGCAGCAACAAAGGAAGTGATCGGAGTGCTGGTGATCGCACTAGGGAATGGGATTGCTTCTGTCAGCTTGAAGGCATGTGAAGTTCTTTGTCGGATCGGTAAAAAAGCACCAACGACGGACGTGATCGGAGCGCGGGTTGCCGCACTAGAAAGTGGGAACGATTCAGTCAGATGCGAAGCCTGTGAAGTATTGGGTAATATGGGTGAAAAAGCAGCAACGAAGGAAGCGATCGGAGCGGTCGTGAAGCAATTAGGGAGTGGGAACAATTCAGTCAGACGGGAGGCATGTAAAGCTCTGGGTAATATCAGTGAAACAGGAGCAACCAAGGAGGTGATGGAAGCCATGCTCACCGCATTAGGAAGTGGGAATAAGTCCGTCACATGCGGAGCATTTGAAGTATTGGGTAGTATGGGTGACAAAGCAGCAACGAAGGAAGTGATCGAGGCTATGGTGACCGCACTGGAGAATGCGAATGCTTCCGTCAGAGAAAAAGCATGTGAGGCTCTCGGTAATATGGATAAAGAGGTAGCAACAAGCAGCGTTGTTGGCGCTTTATTAGCTATTGCTGGTCACGATCATTACGAATCACTTCGAAAAGTTTTGAATTCGTCTTCCGATTTTTCCTACATAGATTCAGATACAGTTTCAGAGTTACTGGGATTGTGGAATCGTGAGGCTTGGTTTATACGCGATATACCTTTGGAAAAAATTATGATTGCGTACGTGAAGACTGGTTTTCCTGAATGGTGGTCTGTTATTGAGTTGCATGCACTTCATACGGATTGTGCTATTACCATTGTTGAGAATACGGTTATTGTGTATGGTAACTCTGAACCAGTAACATTTGACATCCGGAGTAGTGAAGAATTGGTTCGCGCGTTGTCTTTTGCTAATCAGATAGGTTTCGTTTGATATGTCTGACTTTTGTTTCTGTTTTTGATTTTCCTGCCGCTTCTTGCTTTCTGTTTTCTTCGTTTTTGTTTTTGAATTCTGTTTATTGATTCATATTCAAATCGCAATAACAGCCAGAAAATAAGATGAACTTTCTTTCTCGATAGAATATTTTTTCTAAAACGCACAAAGAAGGTCAATGTTGGTTAGCTTCTCGGACTCGTTGCATATGAAATTTAAAAAAGTGTTGAAATTTTGACAATACTCTTTCGTGTGAAGTCTCAAAATGTCTCAGAAAATTCGTCCCACACTGATCCGCTCGCGTCTCAATAAAATATGTAAACCGGATGTCGGGCAATAGGATCCTCGGCAATGCCGAAATTCCACTTTTTTCCTGCTACACATTTGCAGCAGCAGTTATCACAAATGCTATTACCGGCAACTGTGAACACTGCTTCATCGCAAGTAATAATTAAATATGGAAGAAAGATACGACGTTATTCATCATTAGATCAGTCTCAGACTTTGACAACTATCGTCATCTCCATCATCACAGTAACCACCGACACCAATGTTTAATTGCATGTCACCAGCTCCACGAGTACATATTTTTGAGCTAGAAGATGTTGAAAATTGGAATGAATGTGTCGAACAAAAACATACAGCATTTCTAGTTTCTAAAAGTCCTGTTTACACAATTCATTGTTATGAACCGGAACATGAGTAATTGGCCACACTGACGAGAAAAGGTTCCCAAGTGTGTAATTGCTTTTTGCTTGAAATTCAGTGGACAATAGGTAATCAACTGCGCTAAACCCGAATCTGACATCGGTTTATGCTGCTAGAGTACCAGAGGTCGGGTTTCTGAAAAACCAGTTTTTCAACACTCTGAAAGGCAACAAAAATCTTTCTTAACGAGACATGATTGTAGCCTCCACATTTCTGATTAAAAGGAGACATCTCCCAGCTCTACATGACCTTTCTTTGCAAACTTCTAGAATTTATAAGAAAAGCCCTAAATGTTCATTGCCAGCTCAAAGCTACAGAAATAAAAAGAAATGAATTTAGGGCTTTTCTTATAAATTCTAGACGTTTGCAAAGAAGAGTCGGTAGAGCTGGGAGATGTCTCATGGATAACATCGCGTTGTCACAAAGCTGGTGATGTAGGCACCGCTTAGCGAAAAGATTCCCTGTTGGATTTGAAATTCTAATAGAACCATTCGACAGAGAAAATTGTTCTCTATTGATATACACAAGGCCCAGCACTTTAGCTTGTGCTGTTCATGAACTATAAGCATTTTCCAGAGGGCCCCGATTTCGGCCAACTGACCTTAGATCACTCCAAAATACCTCGAAATGTAGGTAATCGACCATGCTGAGTCGAGTGATGCTGTTTATTTTCAGTTTTGAAGCGAATTATAATCCGTTAGATTAAACGTTTTTGAAATATCGACTCAGTACGCCGCATAGCACGGCATAACGTCCGTATATAAAAATTTTAGAAATATCCAATTTAATGATTTCAGCAACTGACTGAATGACTCTGTCCTTATCGAATGAGTCTATTATCGAATTTAACCATGTACTCGGGTCATCATTGTTATTCATGTTCTCTTCAGCATCAACAATTGTATTTTGGCGTGAATTTTGTATTCTGTCGTCAACTGGATAATTTATTATTGCATTATTATTATCATTATCCTCTTCATTATCTGATTGTGAGACTGTTTGTCAAATTCTTCAGATAATGTTGCTGCATCTAGTGGCAAATTTTCTTCTAACATAATACCTTTTTCAATATCAGGTATAGCCGAATTATTATCATCATTTTTTTCACGTGTTGTTGAATACGTTTCGAAAAATCTTCGTCGGTACGAATACCACCTCTTGTCTGTGTGTTGTCTGTTGTGTCTTTTTCGTAGTTTTTGCGATACTCGTATTAATAGCCAGCATCACTGGAACAAAAAATAAGAAACTAATAGTATCGGTCATCACTACTTTTGGTTATCCTTGTCCAGCAGGCCAGTCTGCCGTTTGATTGGAATCTAACTATTTACCAAGAAGCTACTGGACGACCGCATAACCACGCTCGACTAAGCCCTGTGACGGAGGATGTCGGGGACGCCCATTTATAATAATCAAATCAGTCCATATTTTTTCCAAATAATAGATTACGTGAACAACAAACCCCCGTTCGTTCTCTGACTGCTAAATTTTTGATGGTCCAAACTGAAAAAAAATTGATTTTAATATTTGTGCAACATTAGCAGCCTCTTTAGTAAACACTGAACGCAACCAAGAATATTTAGAAAAGTGGTCTTTTGCGTGAAAAATCCATTTATAGCCATCAAATTCGCTACTGCGCATATCTATTAAATCCATTTGCATTCGTGTCATAAATCCAAGTCAGAGATGGTACCGCTCGACAAAATCTTGATCGGTATCGGCTAGTCATTTTCAAAAACTTTGATGGGTGCTTGTTGCTTTCCGTTTGATATAAATATGCTATTGTCTGTCATATTTTCTAGTTATAAGCCAAGTCAACCGGGCTCGGTCCAACATGTTGACCGGAACCGGTCCAACCGGCCGGTTGATAAGTCTCGACCTGAGCGAGAACGGGCGCCCGGTTGCATCTCTGATCCAAGTGATACAATTGGTTTTCCAACAACTTGTTTGGGAAAAACTTTTGGAGACACTGGAGACGAACACTGTTTCGAGGGAACCTCTCCAGGTGATTAAAAGCTTTTCGACCCAGACTATTTTCATCACGCAGGGAATAGTCAACAGTGACAAACTCCAAGCTGGTTTGGGTCCACGCGCCTTTTCGACGGAGATATGAGTTAATTAATGAAAATACCATTAATAATAATTAATTAATAGCTCACGACCATCATCAGCAAAGAATTCAGAAACTTTCACCACTGTTGAAGATAGATGCTGTTCACTCATTGCGACACTGTTAGGGTTATAAACCAAAGCTTTTGCAAGATATGAATTTTTTATGATTCAGACAGTTTTTAGAGAAAATTCACCATTGACAACCTGAAAATTTGTTATCACTTTTTAAGTACCTCTGTTCACGCTGCAGAAGCTTAGCGCCTCCGAGGGACCTATATCTAAATGAAATTTTCTTTTAAATCTAAATTTTACTCAGTCGACCGACCTGTCTAAAAGGTGATAACAAGTTTTTAGGTTTCCAATCGGGAATCTCAACTAAAAACCGTCATAGTTCACAGTGTTTTGAATGTTCTCATAGTTCTCAATCTTCTCAATGTTGTCATGGTTCTCTTTCTTCTCATAGTTCCCAATGTTCTCAATGTTCTCATTGTTTCCATAGTTCTCCATCTTCTCAAGATTCTCATACTTCCTCAATGTTATCAGTGTCCTCATAGTTGTCATCGTACCCAATTTTCTCAATGTTGTCATTGTTGTGATAGTACTCAATGCTAACATAGTTCTCAATGTTCTCATAGTTCCCAATGTCCTCAGTGTTTTCATAGTTGTCATAGTTCACAATTTTCTCAATGTTCCCATTGTTGTGATACTACTCAATCTTCTCATAGTTCTCATTATTGTGATAGTATGCTCAATATTGTCACAGTTCCCATTGTTGTCACAGTTCTCAATGTTCTCAAACTTCTCAATGTTCTCATAGTTCTCCGTGTTGAAGTTCTCATTTTTGTCATAGTGTTCATTGTTCTCATAGTTCTCGTTCTGTCATACTATTCATTATTCCACAATTCTCATTGTTCTCACAGCACTCAATTCTCTCACAGTTCTCGTTGTTGTCATACTACTCAATGTTTCCACAGTTCCCATTGTTGTCACAGTACTGGATGTTCTCATAGTTCTCATTGTTGTCATAGTACTCAGTGTTCTCCTAGTACTCACTGTTCTCACAGTTCTCATTGTTGTAATAGTTCTCAATGTTCCCATAGTTCTCAACGTCCTTAGTGTTCTCGTTGTTGTCAAAGTTCTCAACCCTCTCAATGCTATCGTGGTTCTCTCAGTTCCCCGTGTTGATGTTCTCATTGTTGTCACAGTACTCAGTGTTCTCATAGTACTCACTGTTCTCACAGTTCTCATTGTTGTAATAGTTCTCAATGTTCTCATAGTTCTCATACTTCTCAACCATCTCAGTGTAGTCATGGTTCTCGATGTTCTCATATTTCACAAACTTCTCTATGTTCCTATAGTTCTCCATGTTGTCATAATTCCCAATGTCCTCATCAATCTTCTTAATGTTCTCATAATTCTGATTACTCTCATTGTTCTCTCGGTTGTCAACCTTCTCACTGTAGCCATAGTTCTCATAGTACTACTAGATCTGGATGTTTTCATAGTACTCAATCTTCCCACAGTTCTCAACGTTCTCAACGTTCTCAATTTTATCAATGTTCATGTACTATTCATTGTTCCCACAATTCTCATTCTTGTCATAGCACTCAATCTTCCCATAGTTCATGTTGGTGGCACAGTACCCTATGTTCTCACAGTTCTCGGTGTTCTCATTGTTGTTGTTATTGTCGTAGTATTCATTGTTCTCACCATTGTCATTGTTGTCACAACGGTGTAGTCATAGTTCTTGTTGTTGTCATAGTACCCACTGTTCTAATAGTTCACATTGTTGTCATAGTATTCATTGTTCTCACAATGCTGATTAGTTGTCAACCTTCTCGCTGTAGTCATAGTTCTCAATGTTCTCAACGTTCTCAGCGTTCTCATAGTTGTCATGGTTCTCAATTTTATCAATCTTGTCATTGTTGTCAGACTACCTAATTTTCCCATCTTTCTCAACGATCTAAATGTTCTCGCAGCTCTCATTGTCGTCACAGTACTCAGTGTTCTCATAGTTCTCAACGTTTTCAATGTTCTAGTGGTCGTCATAGTTCTCAATGTTCTCATTCTGGACATAGTTCTCAATGTTCTCATAGTTCTCGTTGTTGTCATAGTATTCATTCTTCTCCCAATTCTCATTGTTGTCATAGCACTGAATCTTCTCAAAGTTCTCGTTGTTGTCATACTGCCCAATGTTCTCATAGTTCTCACTGTTGTCACAGTACTGGATGTTCTGATAGTTCACATTCTTGTCATAGTACCCAATGTTCTCATAGTCCTCATTGTTGTCATGGTGTGCTTCTTCTAAAAGTTCTCAATATCCTGATTGTTCTCACTGTTCTCATATTTGTCATAGTTCCCATAATTCTCATAGATCTCCATGTTCTCAATGTTCTCAATGTAGACACAGTTCCCAAAGTTCGCATGGTTCCCATATTTCTCAATGTTCTCATGTTTCTCAATGCTGTCATAGTTCTCAATGTTCTTGATGTTTCCATTGTTGTCATAGTTCTCAATGTTCTCAATGTGGTCACAGTTCTCAATGTCCTCATAGTTCTCGTACTTCCCGATGTTCTCAAACTGCTCAATGTTCTCATAGTTCTCGATGTTCTCAATGTTGTGGTCGTTCTGAATGTTCAGATAGTTCTCAGTGTTCTCATAGTTTTCATTGTTCTCGGTGCTTATATTGTCAGTCTTAATGTTGTCAGCGTGCTCAATGTTCTTATAGTTCTCAATGTTCTCATAGTTCTTGTTGTTGTCATAGTATTCATTGTTCTCACAATTCTCATTGTTGTCACAGCACTCAATCTTCTCATAGTTCCCATTGTTGTCACAGTACTCGATGTTCTCATAGTTCACATTCTTGTCAGACTGCTCACTGTTCTCATGGTTCTCGTTGTTGTCATAGTATTCATTGTTCTCACAATTCTCGTTGTTGTCATAGCACTCAGTCTTCTCATAGTTCTTGTTTTTGTCATAGTACCCAATGTTCTCATAGTCCTAATTGTTGTCATAATACTCAATGTTATCACACTTCCCATTGTTGTCATAGCTCTCGGTGTTCTCAATGTTCTTATTGTTGTCGGTGTTGATGTTCTCATTGTTGTCATAGTACTCAATGTTCTCATAGTTCTCATAGTTCTCAACCAGCTCAGTGTAGTCATGGTTCTCGATGTTCTTATAGTTCGCAATGTTGGCATAATTCCCAGTGTTCTCATAGTTATCAATCTTCGCAATGTTCTCATACTTCTGATTGCTCTCATTGTTCTCATAGTTGTCAACCTTCTCACTGTAGTCATAGTCCTCATAGTTCTCATAGATCTGGATGTTTTCATAGTACTCAATGTTAACATAGTTCTCGATGTTCTCGATGTTCTCATTGTTGTCACAGTACTCAGTGTTCCCATAGTTCTCTAACGAGCTATTAATGGCCAATTAATGGTATGGTATAAGAATGATCAGTTGATGGTCAGTAAAAATGAGCTAGAAATGATGTTATTTATGACTCATTTTGTGATCTTTACAAAAATTAGGTAAAAATTAGCCATTAATGATCTGGTAGAAAAAAAATAGGCAAAAAACGATAATAGAATGGTCATTTATATCACTTTAAGTTAACATTATTGACGTGTAACTAGTTGTTCAGTTATCATATGATTTTTACATCATTTTTGAGCAATTACCGAATGGCCATAAAATCACTGAAAAATGCTTGTAGATGGATCATTAATTGTGTAAACATACCGAAGGTCTTTTTTCGAGACTCTTCAAGACCCGATGGAGTCGAAAAACATTTGATAATCCAAGACTATGCTAACTTCTTCGGTCAACGTTCGTAACCACTAGAGTTGTGTAAGTTTCACCATACGGAGATGAGAGGCTGGCAAAAAGTAACTCCTTAGGAGTTTGATAAAAGTCACGTACTGTCAACTTATTGCTTATGCTGCTTGCTGTGTCTCACTACTGATGAGGAATTCTAGTTCTGTCCGTCAGGTAAGGTTCGGTTGAGTCGTCTTCTCTATAGGTCGTAATCTCTGGGTCGGGTAAGGTTGGGTTGCCGTGTGTGTCTAGTAGTGTCTGACTACTGTTTAATAGGTCTGTATCTCTGGGTTGGGTAAGGTTGGGTTGCGATGTCTGTAGTCAACATTTATCAGTAAGTGTCCGGGTTGGGTGAGGTTGGGTTGCTATGTGTTTCTAGTAGTGTCTGACTACTGTTTAACCGGTCTATATCTCTGGGTCGGGTAAGGTTGGGTTATGATGTCTGTAGTTAACATATATTTCCATGAACTTCTGGGTTGGGTTAGGTTGAGTTGTCATGTGTGTCTTACATTGTTTCACTAGTGATCATTAGTTCTGTATCCCTAAATTTGGAATGTACGTTATGTTTGTGTATGACTTTGTTCAGTTTTGTGAAAAATTAATTTTCTCACAGATACCAGTGTTTTATCGCGTATTTCTGATTAGCTACTTTTCCACACTAGTTAAGCT